TCTCTCTCTCTCTCTCTCTCTCTCTCTCTCTCTCTCTCTCTCTCTCTTTGTGTATCAAGCCCTCTCAAGCTCTATCTCTTTGTGTGCATAACCATGTATTGTATAGCTTTCGACGATTCCCCCGAGCGATGATTCAATTCAATGATGTATTAATCGATTTTGTGATTCAATTTTTGCAGCAAGAGGCCGTTTAAGTCATTCAGCTGTCGGCGATAAATCACAGGTACAAGATACAGGAAGTGGATCAGGCGATGCTGCACCAATAGTAACAGAAAATAGAATTAAACCAAGATCAAGGCAAGTCAGAGTCTCACTTTCTTCATCCTTTCATCCAATCAAAAACCACTTACAATATGTAAAGTGTGTTACATTTAACAATGATATTGTTTACATTGGATAAATCATTGATTTGTTTGTAAATTACAGATCATTGATACGACGATCGTCTCGGAAGGCCAAAGCACAAATTCGCAACACATCCGAAGATTGTCAAATTCAGTAAATATCAACATATAAGTCTGAAGGAGGAAGCTTATCATTCAACTTTAAACAAACTTATATACCCCAAAACACACACTCAAAATATCAAATATTATTGAACAAAAACAAAATACAACAGCAAACATGTGTCCAATTTACCCTACAGAAGCTTACTAAAAGTCCTGAAAATGTTCCATAAAATAATGAATTTTGTGATTTTACAACATTAATGAAATCAAAACTCCGTCAGAGGGTTTCACTAAACAACAAGAAAAAAAAATGAACAAAAAAAATTTATCTAAAATTAAAAAAAAAAAACGTTACACATTTTTTATAGCCGCTCAGGCTAATTTTTTCGAGAACTGTTATATCATATGTAGAATTTGAAAATGAAAAACGTCCGTCATAATCATAAAAATTATTACATTTAACAAAACAAAAAAGAGAACAAATTGATAGTACGAGTTTTAAACAAAGAAAAAAGAATTTTCAAGTATTATTATTACCCGATATCATCGTTATTCTATTTAGAAAAGATATACAAAGCAATGCGATTATTTGCTCAATTTCCTAATCGAAAATCAAGTAAAACAGCATATGAATGAGTTATATCATGCGTACGCGATGTGTTTGTGTGTGCGTTTGTGTGTACGTTTTGTGCATTTAGCAAAGGCATTATTGGTTTCTAAGATGATGTCATGTGGTTGGTGTGTCATTGAACGTGCTGCGTCAACCAATGACTCTTCATATAATATTTTGCACATATTTCATACAATATACAATAATTGCGTCTCTGAATGTTCGTAACCAAATCGATGAATCAAATTTCTAGCACGCTATTTATTCGAATTATTAGCAATTTATCGATGGCATTCGTAATAATAAAAGACAAGAACACCAAAACAACAATCCAATATTGTTGATCGCCTCATACTCACATAGACACATACATATACACAAAGGAATGTATGTCTCTTCATATCAATTTCGTTATTTGTTTTCTAATATTCAATTCGTCTATCGGATTAATTCCAAAATACATGGCCCGTAAATAATCAAACGAATCATTTTATGAAAATCATTTGTAAATTGTGCAATTAATCGCATTCAAGCATGTTATTCATTTTATCGGTTTTAATGAATGATAACAACAACAAAACACCATTAAAATCAACAACTAGACAAAAAAAAGTCAACAAAGTTTCGGAAAATACATTTATTAATTTGTAAAAAAAAAATATAGGAGAGAGTGCGGTAAAACCGCCGCTAAAAACTTGGACATCAAACTCCAGTGATCGAAATTGTCACGTATTGTTAGTAGTCTTGCCATTGAATATAGCTTCAAATTTGAACATTTATTTCATTATATTTCCAGTTTTTTAAAGTTATTTTTCATGGTTTTTCACCAAAGTCAATGAAAAAGTGAAAAAAATGATAGAACTACTACTTTTCTCGTTTTTAAATAAATAGTAAACATTTTGAGAAAGTAAAGTTCAAATTTTGCGCCATATATAAGAAAGATCCACGTTTAGTTAGATGGTCAATCGAATGGTGTTTCGGTTGAATGGCGGAACATTTCGCGAAAATACTTCGTTCATTTGGCGAAAAAATACATTCGTGAAATGTTCTGGCACTCGTTTTGGTTGGCTTCCATAAAAAAAGTTATATTAGAGATGTTTCCACTATGGCTGAATTTTCCCCCATACTCCTCGTTGCTATCACATATTGGGCAGCAGTGAAAATAATTTTCTCCATGATTGCATTTCATCCGTCTACCCATGTTTGGCATCCGTTTTTACAAAGCACCTATCATATTGCAAATATTTATATACAGCACACAGGCTAGAAAACAAAAATGCAGAAAATTATGTAATGAAGTACGAAATCAAATATTTTTCCTGTTCTGACCATTGATTGCAATGCAAACTAGAGCACGAACACAAGCGGAGAGATTTCGAGAGGAAACTATGTCCAATTATAATGTGAAATACCAAGGGGATAGCCACGAATTGTGTGATTTGATTTAATGAGCTGGACAAATACGGATGACGTACAATAATTAGAATTGATAGGAAAACGGGGCGAAACAGGTCATTCTACTTGTTTGTGTTTTTTTAAATAAATATATATACTCTTAAAATTTCTTCGAATTTGTATTCTGAATTCAATGAACACGTCTGAGTATGCATTTTCTTTCATACGGTGTGCGTGTGTGCGGAAAAGTAATAATTAAGCGTAGATTGTTTGATTTTACATAATTAAAGTTTAAGGCGATACTATTGTATTTTTCTTCATTCAAAATTCATCACTGTTTTTAAAACGAAATTGCACCATACAAAATGAAGCATCTTTTAAAATAATGCCCAGCAAAATCGCCATCGTAGCTAACCCCTTGGATAAAACATAAATTCTATCACCGTTTCCAAACGGTACAATTATAATATTTATTATTAATTTTGAAAAATTGTTACGGTATGTTTAAATCTATGGATTAAAACTAAGTTGTTTTTTCTTCCTCTTTTTTTTGTCAAATTGTAAAGTGAACGGGACTATGCAAGAATGAATTTGACTGAATATTCAATGGAGATGCAGCTGATTAGCCGAATATTTGCAAACATTTCAATTTTGCGGCATTTATTAACTCAGCAATGTATGAAACAGAACACTTTCTAACATACAATGATTTTTGGATAGGATAGATTCGTAAGATCTCCGCAAGATCCGGATACAAGCGTGCATACGTAGTCGCATGATACATACATTAGTTATTCCGCATTGCTATGGCATGATTATATATGTATTTATTGGATTATTCGGATCTTAAGGAGATCTTACGAATCTATCCTATCCAAAAATCATTGTATGCTTTCTAACCTATACAAATATTCGCATTTGAATTTAACTCAATAAATTTGTCCAAATCGAAATATATCAAATAACCAGCGATTGAAAAAGATCTCTTGAATATTTAATCATTTACATTCTGCGAGGGGTGCGATGCACACGAAAAAAAAAATATGCACAGCAAAAGTGGAAGCGAATATAAATGAAAAATTGATAATGAAAAATCCCCGATATTAATGCGCACATGCTTGCACCAATATACATTCCATATATGGATTGGTATTTTATTGACCAAATATGATAGACTCAATTTTGAAAATGTTTCTCCTCATCGTGGAATCGGTCACAGCTATGACAAAGTAAACAATTGAAATGGCATGAATTTCATTTATCATCAAACGAACGAAATTGGTGCGATTTTCTGTAGCACATTTTCGGTTTCAGTTTAATTCATTGCATAATCGATATTGTATATGGATATAAATGGATACGTAAAACATAATCTCATGAAGAGATTTTTCCATTGAAACAAAAAAAAAACAACAACAAAATATCCATCTCGCCCGAAAAATCTCCGCCAAGAGAATGAGCTCATCATCCGAACCATCTTTATGGGGTATCAAATGTATATATATATCGCAAACGAAACTTCAACCTTTTTACCAATTGATGATATTGATGATATTGATGATATTGCTGGGTGATTGTGCCATAACTCACACACTAAAACAGGCGTGTGCGGTAGTAATCAATTCGACATTTCAACAATTCTTTGGTTAGTTATTGCTCGATATATGCTTGTTTGTGTTTGTGTGTGTGTATTTGGATAGGAACGAGAAGACACACACAAGTGAGAGAGAAAACAAAATTCATAGTGTAAATGGATATTGCTTTAATTCGCCGAATGGATATTGTGATCGATTACCAAAGTGCATTTTTGGAACGCAGACCGTCTGAATTCTTTCAAAAAAAAATTTGCCTGATGAGAGATCTATGAGAACATAACAGCTAGCCATAAATGCCACAACACTCTTATAGACACTTGTATGATATTGAAATTTCATCAATTTTAGTTAATTCAATGGCCAAAGCTACCATTGTCAATACATTTATGCTCGCTCCCTTGCTTTGTGCTCCCCACATAATCCGAATTGAAAATTAAATTAAAAATTAAAAAAAGTGTTTTTTTTTTTATTTAGTAAAAAGTTGTGCGACCGTTTTGTCGTAGTAAGGAAACTATGTTAACGTTTTAGAAAGTCATCAATTGATTTCGAAAATTAATAAGCTCCTTTGAGAACAATATCGTTATTAAATTTTGACGGCGATTAAAATTTGCCGAGACTATGTTAAGCCCGAACCATTTTGAAAATTACGATGAACATTCAGTACTATTTATTATTATTGCCATTATTATTATTATTATATACATTCAAATAAAAATTTTCAATAATTGTTACTATAGCGTAAATCTGTGAGTTGTGTGTAGTCGAGTGTAATTTTTCGTGTGATCGATCAGTTAGAGTTGAATGCTTTTATGTGTGCGTTGAATATGCTGTGTGTATTTTCGTTTGAAGTCGACATCTGGCCTGAATACGTCACGATAATTCATTAACATTATTTGCAGGAGCCAGCTCGATGAGATTGGTAAACGAGAACGAGACAATTACACATCAAGCTACAGGGAAAATGCAAGCGTGAGAGAGAGAGAGAACGAAATAGTGAAAAAGTGTGTATGGTTCTGTGCACACGTGCAAAACTTTGTACATACATTCAACGAATATGCGTTTCGTACAATTTTAATTAACATTTCTATTAAACGTGTTTGTGTGTGATGTTGACTGGATGTGCAAAGAAGATGCGGACGAACGAAACGAATGAACAAGGCGAACAAACACAAAATAACACACTGACTGACTTGATAAATAGCTGTAAATTGCTGGGCGACAAGCAGCACAACTAATATATTGTTTATGAGATAACATGAAACATGATTTCAATTGCAACATTCCACAACACAAAAACTTTATGCAAAAAAGTGTTGATAGAAAAAGTGGCTGACAGTAGCATACCGATTCTGGTTCGTGCATGATTGCCGTTGACGCACTGCATGCTGTTGTTGTTATTGTCAGAGCGAGAGAGATTGTAACATTTAATAAATTCATTTTCAGTGACCAAGCAGAAAAAAAACCACATCAGCAACCAAACTTCGAGAAAAATAATCTGACAGTTCGTTCTTCATTTTATTTAAAAAATAAAAAAATCTATTTCGCGTAAGTATCAATTCAACTAATTGCAGAGAATGCAATTCTTTTAGCGTTTGTTGTGTTTATTTTTATTTATTTTTTTGCCCGCTTGATTTGTTGCTTCGAGCTTTGGTTATGGGAAATGACCGTACCATCGTATCGCATAGACCGTATACAATTAAATGCAGTGACTGTTTCCTTTGAAGAGTTTCGCTCAATCACTTCATTTAATATCGCATCTGTTGGTCGTCTTCCAATATAAATATTGACACAATTGCTTGCTCGTTTTTTTTGGTTCGCTCGTTGATTGAAATTCTCCGTTAGCGTGTGTATTTTCTGATGACTGCAATAAGAAGCTCGAAGGCAATTTGTAATTTATTCGGTTTGTTTATTTATAATTGCTCTCATTTTCGTAACCGGCCAACGAAATGAGCAACTTTTCATTCATCGGTGTTGTCGTCATCGACACCAACGCTGCCATTAGTTGCCGTTGTAATTGCTGTCATCATTTCGTACACAGTGAGTTGGCGCTTCAAAGCTAGTGAGCCAAAAAAAAACCTGCCAATAAAAATAAACATATCCTTTCCAAACGGTTAGACGAACATCATTAAGATTGCTCATGTTCAGAAAGTTTTCCAGTTTTCAAAGTTGGACTAATTTTCAGACTGCCAGACTCAATTCAACTCAACATTGCTATCTCTCATCCACTTCATAAATACCCAAAGTCAGCGATATTTCCGTAACACAACGAATATGTCGGAAATTACGCCAACGTGCCGTGAAGATGTAACCAAGCGAATTTTACAACAAAAAGTCATACTACAGAAAAAGTGGCGCGATTTAGCCCAACAACTTAACCAAAGTGTGGAATGGTATGTAATTTACATTAAAATATTGTTGTTGTTGAGTTTTTTCTTTCACTTGTGCCAAACTGAGACTTCAAAGTCATTAGCATTGCAGTGCAATGACTTGTGACAGACATGAGATAGAGAGAACCCGTAGCTTTATTTTAATAACGTAGAAAAGCACAAATTTTAATTTGAACTTTAAAAAATTAATTTTAATTACTATAACGAAAAAGTTTCGCAAGTTTCGTCTATATGTTGATTACAACCGGTTAAGCCTATGAAGAGACAAAATGCGAATTCCCCTCATCTGTGCCATCTTGTATTCCATAGTTGAACTCAATTTAGTTACAATGAATTGAATCGAAAAAGAGAAAAAAAACAACAACAGTAACATGGCTACATAGATCTGTTGACCAGTGAGATACGTATAGCAATGGAATGAAAGAATGAAGAAAGCGTATATGTGTATGTATGCATCAGCACGCATAGATGTACAGCTCTGTGTGGCCGTGCTATTGTTGTTGTTTTTTCACTTTTTCATTTCAATGCTACAGAATTAAATTCAGTTTTTGCATCTAATTCACACTAAAATCAGATGGCGCTCATTAGCGAGATTCGCAAAAAAAAGTCTCCAATCTCATACAAATATACACCGGCTGGTTGATTAAAACGGAATTTTCGCAGCGAAAGAGTTTTTTTAAAAACTGACTATATACAATTGCACGAAAATGTCCGCAATTTGCCAATGCATAATTAATTTTAATTTTTTTTTAATTTTCAGGACTGTAGCAGCATGCTTGGGTCAAATGCAAATGACAGAAGAACAATCTCAAAGCGTTGGTATGTACTTTCAACTGAATGCCCAAGAGTGTCGTTGGCTACAAACCGTACCATATAGAAATTCCACGAACGGTTCCATATCATCGGATCCACTGCTGTATCGTTTACACGAGGTGATTTCAATGAGCTACAGAAAATTCCGCACTTTTTGCGTATCGAAACCAATTAATTTATCATTTCTACAATTTTTTTCTATCCCAAAATTAATTTATGGAAAATACAATTATTATAACTATCGAATAGGCATTAGGTGTGTATGGGCCAGCATTGAAGGAGATTATTCACGAGGAATTTGGCGATGGAATCATGAGTGCGATCGATTTCACTGTAAAAGTTGAACGAGAAGTTGATCCAGCCGGTGACCGTGTGAAGCTTGTATTAAATGGCAAATATTTGCCATACAAAAAGTTCTAATTGAATATTCAATTTTTCCAGTTGAGAATAGAGCACAAAAAAGTGCACATACTTAACCTACTCACATCTAGATGGCATAATAATGCTGCTATATCGAATAAAAATAAATGCACAATTATTCAGAATTTGAATGCGAAAAAAAAAAACGAAACGTTGCTGTCGCAATAAGAATTTACAATAAATATCTTGAATAATGAATAAAGATTTTTCTTTGCTTTCATGTCACGAATTCCGTGATGCTATGTTTATTCATATTTTTCATCAATTTTGTTTACCAGATTGTTATTTTGCGGCAATCGACAGTACACATTCGCATCGGACAAGACGAAACCGTAAAAATGGCGGCGACTTTTAACCCAATCCATACCATTTTAAAAACATATCACACAAATGATAAACCATAATTTCCGTGTTTGAATCGAATATTTTCGAAAAAATATTTCAATAAAATTGTGCACATTTGTTAAGTTTGTGATAATTTGAAGTTTGATTGAAAAGTAGCATGCAATTGTACAGCCGGTAGATTCAATCGAAAGGTATATGACAGTGATGGGTTTGTAAGTGTTAATAAGATTCTCCAATAAAATCGTTAAAAACACACTTTCGACGTTTCAGAACACGAACCAAATGTTCGCTCGCCAGTGTATTGAGCTCAATACATTGAACTCAATATTGACATGACGAATGAAAGTTTATGCTGTACAGCGTCTGTGTTTTTAGACGTATGTTAGTGAATCAAAAAGAAAGAAAGAGAATAATATGATATGATTCAGATATTCAGTTTAGTCAATTTTGTTGAGTGTCTTGTCAAGTTTTTTTTTCTTCTCATCTCTTGTGATTATAAAAACAAAGTAAATATGAAAAAAGTGTTAAATGGAGGAAGGGTTCCTCATTTGTGTGATTTACTAAAATAAGAACATTTCGTACGATAAACAATCAAAAGTTGTGTTCATCGCAAACGCAAACGCGAATCAAAATTTCATTCATTACGAACAACAGCAGTAGTAACAGCGCAACAACAAACCAAAAAAAAAAATTGACGAGAAAGAAAAAAAACCATGCACGAGCGAAAAGAGAAATGAAATGTATTAGAGACTATTTGGTCGAGCCAAGTTCAAATGAAATTAAATGATTGCAATTAACCCGATGTGTGTTTGGGTCGATTGAATGGCTTTCGGTTTGATTTGTCGATTGAATAAAATTGAATATATTGTAAATGTTTTTGTGTCTATGATCATCGAAATCTGGAAGAAAGTTTTCTTAGTGTACATATGACCGACAAGAGAATAGTCACACGTTCGGCTAAATTGTGTTGAGATAGAAAAGTTGTGAGAAAAAAAAATAACACCATTCACAAACGGTCTATGTTCTGCATTGTTTCACAATAGATTTCACAAATAAATGTCAAAATTTGAGCATATTAAATTTGGTGCGGTTTTTTATCGGGTCGAATACACAATTTCATATTCTTTGTATTTCGAGTTCAACGGGCATCCAACTCATTCTCTTTCTTCGTTTCTTGGAATCGGCGAAAAAAAAAGTGTTTCACCGAATCGTGTGAAGAAAACATTGCCACAGTAACGAAGACGACAGTGGCATTGGCCGCGACATTACGTTCAGACTTTCAATTGAAACGCGGTGTACACCGTACAATGTACATTTATGGTCAAAGTGTGGAATCATAATAATGATGATGTTTGATGATGATAACCATTTTACCAAATGAAAATCACTTGATAGGAAATGTGATTATGGCCAACAATGGTATTTGTCATTTGTTAGCAAACTCTTCTAAATCAATACAAAGCATTTATCGAGCTAAGCCATAATAAATCATAGTAAAGCACGAGAGAGAGAGAGAGAGAGAGAGAGAGAGAGAGAACAACGATAGAAACATCAGAAATAGACATTGTCCGCAGTTTTCTTCTTCGTACTCTCTATCTGATTCGGTGGCCATTTCAATTGATTCATTGTAAACGATATTTACTCGCAATCATTTCGACAAAAGAACGAGTTAATAGACCGATATCGTTCCATACTATAGATTTCGATTCGTACTTTACTTCATTTCGTTTCGTTTGATTTCATTTTATTCAATTAGATCAATCAAACCAAAAGAACTATACGTAAAACTGGTTATAGGTATTTATTGGAAAGTGTTGAATGGGGCAACGGCTAATCATAATAATAACAACGAGAAAAAATATTTATATATTATCAATATAAAAGGAAAAAAAAGAAACAAACAAATAATAATATTCCGTGAAGAAGAGAAGCAGAAACAGAAACAAATTTTATTTTAACTGATGAGTCATTAGATGAATTGGTTGAAGGCAAATGAAAAAAAAACAACAAATGAACACATGCACGATGAATGAGATCGAGAAGCAAACGCAGCAACGTAACAACCGCATGCAAAAAGAAAAACAATGAATAAAAAAACGCACACACCAATCATAGTAAGAAGCCGAAAAGTGTGTAAAACTGAAAGTAGTGTGTTGTATATGTCAATTTTGTCGGGCCGACATCGAGAATAAAAGAACGAAAACCGAGAGAGAGAGAGAGAGATTTGTATTTTATTTGTGTGTGTGTGCATCAAATCGTGTAATGTAAATGTATAACTGTTGTACACAAAAAGAAGAGAAGGTCAACAATATCATCCACAGCAGCAGCAGCAGGAGCAGCATCAAAGAAGGCAGCAAGATTTATAGCGAGTAACATCATTATCCATCTCTCAAGCGCAAAAACAAAAACGAAACCGTTTTCGACCAAAAAGCCAAGAATACAATAAATAAATATACCTCAATAAAAATACGCATTACAAACAGCATCTCAAAATCATAACGTGCATACATCTAATATTATGACGGATATGGTGGTTGATTTGGGCTCACTTCCCGACGATATTCGCGAAAAACTTGCCGAACTTGACTTGGAGTTATCTGAAGGTAATTGCACCCATTCAATCGATATCTAGCTATAAGATATTTTAAGGCAAATACAATGGTATGATGTGTGTTTGTTTGTCTCCATTCTTCTACTGTCGCGACCATTGATGCTGATCAATACAGACGGTTGTGCGCATACTTTTTTCAAATAATTGCCATTGTATCAGACACGCGTAACAAAAGTAAACCGATCCAAATTCAATTCCTGTCGAAAATCCATTTTTCATATTTGACTGCTTTGTGAGTGCAGCCGTACAGCTATAGCCGCACACAATGCAGGTGATCATCATTTTCAATGAGCAATTATTGCAGATATTGTTTGGACGTTTGTTTGCGGTGAAAGGCGAATACGCATTCATACTCTCGCACACAAATCAAGCAAAACAAAAACGCAAACAATTAGATGAGGTGAAATGTTGAAGTTAAACATTCTATAATGGATTATTTATGTCAGTTGCAGAAATGTGGCACAATAAAAAGCGATTTCAAGCGGCGCAAATTCAAATAATCACATCAAATCGATATTTATGTGTCTTTTCTGTGTGTTTGAGAAGCGAAAGCGCTACCATTATCACTGTCTCCCTCCCCTTCTCTCTCTATCTCTTTCTCTGACACACACACATACACAAACATCACATTGATATTTGTTCATTAATTAAAGTTCAAAAGTATTAAATCGTCATCCAAATTAATAGAAATTAGATTTAATTAGAGCATTTGTTTGAACAAGTTCGTGTGTGAATGTATTATTATTTTTGAATATTTTGAAAATATCATGGCTGAGAAAGATTCCAGTGCAATGAGACAAATCGATATTTTCATTTAGCAAAAAGTAAAAGCAAATCAGTACCATATCATATACAATGGCGAAAAATTGACATAGAAATGAAAGATAGGGAGTGTAAGAATAGTCTATTGTTGTAGATTTATTGAATCAATTCATTTCCTTGTGTATCTAATCTGCTCCATTTGAAAAAGGGATGCAGGCATTCAGTGTCGTTCCCATTGTATGGATTTCATAATAGTGCCTTCCAAGAACGTTTCGTTTTGGACGGTCTTTAATTAAACCGGAACACTCTGGTACCAGTTCACTCTCGACATGGCCGAATGCCGAACGATGAACACACACAAAAAACTATAACAGGAACACAATAAAAAATATTATAAATAGCATAACTTGAAGCAAAACCAAATCAAATCAAATCAAATAAAGCTGTTCTTGCTAGCAATGTGAATAGAAATAAAAACAACAACAACATTAGTACCAATCGTACACACATCGAAAAGTCGACGGCATGACCATCAAGAAGCTACTAGTGAAGTTGAATAATTTATGAGCATTATAAATGCATATCTGCACGCAGCAAGAGTGCAATCGAAAAGAATGTACTCACACAATTTCGATATATATTATGTTTATGTGAATATGTTCTATTCAAAATGTTATGTGGTCGTGTGTGACGTATGCGCGAGTTGTTTCGTCTTCCGCCTGCCCCTTTTTTTCATCATCTTCATTTTTCTAACTCTATGGAAATGTCTATGGTATTGATATTGTTAAATGCTTGCTTGCCAATAAGCTAAATGTATCTATGTTATGCATCGCTTGTCATTTAGATACTTAGAAGAAGAAAGCAATAGAAGCGAGAAAAAAAGAACAATGATCAGAAATGGCTATAAAATTCACTATGTACTTAACGATTTGGTTGTTTCATATGTGCTATGTAGCGCCCGGTCCCGATGTGCAAAATGGAAAATAATTCCCTGAGATGTGTGTATTTTATGTTCAAGGGAAAACAGCGGGCACACCGATTCGTTCCTCTTGGTGTTCACTCAATAATAGCACGAAAACTCTTTCTTTTATGGCAATCGATTCCATCAATCGACACATACGAACATCATCAACTAATTGACAATTATAGCGAGTTTTGCTTACGAAATTCAAAAAAAAAAAAAATACCAGACAATATATTGAACTAACTGGTCAGTTGAGCTGACAGTACGTTAGCCAGCTAAATGGGCTAAAACAATATACGTTATTGTTTTAATGATGAATCACTTCTCTTGTTTTAATAGAAGTGATTGTTCATTATAACAATAACTTCTATTGTTTTTGTCCATTTAGCTGGCTAACATACTGTCAGCTCAACTGACCAGTTGGTTCAATATATTGTCTGAAAAATACCAACCAGCAACAACAC